AAGCTTCCTTATCCTAGTCTGTTTAGCAGTTAGCTCCTTTCGAGGAGGTAACTGTAGAATTTACTTATTTCTACAGAGCTCTGTAGAATTTACTTATTATGACTGTTGTCTCTCTTACTACCAGAATGTTAGTTCCTTGAGGGCTTTGTCTATTAGTTCACTGTATTCCAGGTACCTAATAGATGCTAAAAAAAAAAAAAAATTATTATTTTTTGAGACAGGATCTGACTCTGTCTCCCAGGCTGGAGTGCAGTGGTGTGAACACTGCAGTCTTGACCTCCCAGGTTCAAGTGATCCTCTGACCTCAACCTCCCAAGTAGCTGGGAGTACACACACACACCACAGGGTTTTGCCACATTGCCCAGGCTGATCTTGAACTCCTGGGCTCAAGTGAGCCACCTGCTTCGGCCTCCCAGAGTGTTGGGATTATGGACATGAGCCACCATGCCTGGCCTTAAAAAAACATTTGCTATATGTGTGAAGAGAGGAAAGGGTATAACGTAAGAAAGTTAGCTGTAAAATAGTTTACATTTTAAATACTTATATTTAAAAGTATTATTTCCATTATTTAAAAAGTAATTTTAAAATTTTGCTTTTGGAGACTACTGTGTTCCATAATTATACCAGGGCAAACACAGCTGTGCTAAGTTTAAGGCCTGTATATTCTGTTGGTGGAAAAGGACTGAGTATTGGTTTGCCCAGTACATCACCTGCCTCAGTCTTCTAGTGGTTTTGTGGTAAAGTTGCTTTCAGTGGTGGTTTAGTTAATGCTCTTTGACTTATGTCCCGATAAATCAGTTGAAAACAAACGCATTTAATATATTTAACCTCCCAAATATCATAGCTTAGCCTAGCCTACCTTAAACATTCTTAGAAATATGTACATTAGTCAACAGTTGGATAAAATCATCTAACACAGAGCCTACTTTGTAATAAAGTGCTGAATATCTCATTTACTTTATTGAATACTGAAAGTGAAAAACAGATCAAAATTTGAAGTGCAGTTTCTACTGAATGTATATCACTTTTGCACCATCGTAAAGTCAAAAAGTCATAAGTTGAACCATCCTAAATTGGGAACCTTCTGTAATAGAAAAAACCTCTAGGTTTGAATGTGTTCCCTAGTGTCCAGATGGAACATCCCTTTCCTACTGGAGGTAGCTTTCTGCACAGTGAGGTATGACAATGTTAATATTAATAGTTAGCCTTATTTCTTAATGTGGACTAGGCCTTATGCTAAGCATTTTATGAATATTATCTATTCTATATAATAGATCTATGAGGTAAATATTCTTTTTTTTTTTTTTTTGGAGACAGAGTCTCTTCTCTGTTGCCCAGGCTGGAGTGGAGTGGCCTGATCTTGACTCACTGCATCTTCTACCTTCTGGGCTCAAGCGATTCTCCAGCCTCAGCCCCCCGAGTAGCTGGGATTACAGGCATGCGCCACCATGCCCAGCTAGTTTTTTGTAGTTTTAGTAGAGATGGGGTTTTGCAGTGTTGGCCAGGCTGGTCTCGAATTCCTGGCCTTGAGTGATCTGCCTACTTCGGCCTCCCAAAGTGCCACTGCGCCCGGCTGAGGTAAATATTCTTGGCCATTTTTTCTTGCAGAAAATTGATTCTTCGTTAAACACCTTGTCTAGCTAGTAGTGTTGAAACTGGAATTCAAATCCAGCCAGTCTTACAGAGGAACTTCACTGCACAAAACACTTTCCTATTATAGTAAAGAATATTTTGCTGAGGCAGGAGAATGGCGTGAACCCGGGAGGCGGAGCTTGCAGTGAGCTGAGATCTAGCCACTGCACTCCAGCCTGGGCGACAGAGCGAGACTCTGTCTCAAAAAAAAAAAAAAATTTTTTTTGAAGTAAAAAAGAAATTAGGAACAGCTTAGTGGAATACTAATGTCACAAAGAGACGATTATCTTTTATTTGCTTTACCTTCCAATGATTTACTAGATTGATTGAGACTGCTGTGACTGAAGCAGTAATGTTACGTTAAAGTTAACCAATGCTGCCAGGCACAGTGGCTTGCACCTGTAATCCCAGCTACTTGTGAGGCTAAGGTGGGAGGATCTTTTAATGCCAATAGTTCAAGATCAGCCTTAGCAAGTCCCCCCTCCTTTTTTTTTTTTTAAAGTTAACCAATGCTAATTTAAATAAAGTAAGAATATTTTAAATAAAGCCATAGTTGGCTCCTAATTATCTCTTCTACTACTTAGACTTAGTTCAGGAAGAGTTTAGCTTCTTTTTGGAGCAGAATTTGTATGATCTGCCTTTATCCCTAAAAATTAGATTCAGCAGGAAGGCAAAAGTTATAACTGTATAGCTGGACAGCAAGTATAATTTAGTGAAAGAGTAGAGGGGTAGACGGTGGGTAGGTTTTGCTGTTCTTTTTTTTTTTTTTTTTGAGACGGAGTCTAGCTGTGTCGCCCAGGCTGGAGTACAGTGGCTTGATCTCGGTTCACTGCAACCTCTGCCTCCCAGGTTCAAGCAATTATCCTGCCTTAGCCTCCCAAGTAGCTGGAATTACAGGCGCCCGCTACCACACCTGGCTAAGTTTTTTTTTTTTTTTTTTTTGTAGTTTTAGGGGAGATGGGGTTTCACCATATTGCCCAGGCTGATCTTGAACTCCTGACCTTTCCTGACCTTGTGATCTGCCTGCCTGGGGCTCCCAAAGTGCTGGGATTACAGGCATGAGCCACGGCATCCAGCCACTGTTCTTGATTTTTAAAAGAAAAACTTGCCCATAATTTATACAAAATTATAGTAATGGAAACAGTCTTCCTCTGTCTACCATAGAAAACAATTTTTAATTTAAAATTTTGACTAGAATATTCTGATTCTTCAATGTGAATTACTTTTGAACCTTAATTAGCCATTTGTCTTCTACAAAATATGTATTTTATTCCCCACCATGCATATATTTCTGTTCTAAGGAGCTTCAGACTATACCTGGTTATCTCCAGTACATAAATCGGTTTTAATTTGTTTTAAAACAGTAGTTTAGGAGTTTAGGGGAGTAAATTAGAATCTACAGTTGTAGGGAGACCCACCCTAATCTTATTATGCAAATGTTCTTTCCCCTTGACCGGTGCCATTTTGGCTGCTCTTTACAGTACACGTGGCTGTCAGAGAGAAGGGAAGATGGAGCCGCCATTTTGAACCTGATTGGCACAACTGCCAGCTTCCATGTCTGCAGCTCTATTTTACAGGCTGCTCTTTGTTAGGAAAATGATTAGGGGCTGCTTTTCATTAAAAGGAAAACCTTACTGAGGACTCGCGTACCCTATCTGCCTAAGTAATTTCTGTTTTTTTTTCTTTTGTTTTTGTTTTTGAGATGGAGTCTCGCTCTGTCACCCAGGCTGGAGTGCAGTGGCGCGATCTCCACTCACTCCAAGCTCTGCCTCTCGGGTTCACGCCATTCTCCTGCCTCAGCCCCCTGAGTAGCTGGGCCTACAGGCGCCCGCCACCACGCCCGGCTAATTTTTTGTATTTTTAGTAGAGACGGGGTTTCACCGTGTTAGCCAGGATGGTCTCATCTCTTGACCTCGTGATCTGCCTGCCTCGGCCTCCCAAAGTGCTGGGATTACGGGCATGAGCCACCGCGCCCGGCCAGTAATTTCTTTTTAACTCCTATGTCAGTATTAACATAGAGTAGTTCAAATGTTGCAGTCAGACTGCTAGGGTTCAGTCCTGGTTCTGCCATTTACTGTTTGGTGCCCTAAGTTACTTAACACCTTACTAGCCTCTTGGTGCCCCAGTTTTCTCATCTGTAATATTTGGACAATAATAGTACCCACCTATTAGGGTTGTTAGGAAGATTTGGTTTAAAATATATATTAAATGCCTAACATATAGTAAGTGCTGAGAGCATGTTAATTTTCCTTTCTCTTTACTAGCAAAAATGATTATGTGATTTACATATGGTAGTGATAGCCTCTGTTGGAAATTTTGACAGGATTAGGTAATTTTAGATTGTTTTTCTTTTTAGAACCTCATAGAACACTTGGTATCATTACATGAAATGCTAAAATGTATATGTGCAAATATTTTCATAAAAGTCTTTGAAAAACCCTCTACTTCTTCCCAAGAAAGGATCTCACTGAAGATTACTTGATTAAAAAAAAACAAAAACAAAAAAAAAAACACCTTGGAGCACAGCCAAAAAACCGGGAATGAAAAAATAACTGTTTTCACGCCCAGAAACTGTGTATGTATAATCAGAATTGTACGTCTTAGGATGTTAGGGAAGCTTTCTTTGTTCCATAGAAAACAAACACTGGCTGTCCACTTCTTGGACTTGAGAAATGTTGAAAGTTTCTTTGTAAATGGATGTCTAGGGCAGGACTGGCAGGAGGAAATAATTCTTTTCCCAAAACACTTTTTTTGCTTCCAGTAAGTGAAGGAACATTGTTGAAACTTCCCTCACCACACCCTCTGCTGATTATTTGTGAAACTCAGGTGAGTTAAATGTGTAGTGCAAGCTTGTCCAACCCGCAGCTTGTGGTGGCTTTGAATGAGGCCCAACACAAATTTGTAAACTTTCTTAAAACACTATGAGTTTTTTTTTTGAGATTGTTTTTTTAAGCTCACCAAATATCGTTAGTGTATTTTCCGTGTGGCCCAACACAGTTCTGCCATTGTGGCCCAGGGAAGCCAAAAGATTGGACACCCCTGGTGTAGTGGTTCCTCCCCCTTCTCCCATACTTGACCCTTATTTGAACTAGGATTATTTGTCTTTTTTTACCCTCCTGGATGAGTGGAGGAAGTCCTTGAAATCTATATTACTGCTACTGTTATTACTACTTTTTAAAATGGAAACATACACAGAAGTAGAGTCAGTGAGCCCTTATGTTTGTAGCAGTTAGTTTTATCCCACCCCTACATTTGACCTACTTGTTCTTGTCCTGAGCTTTTAAAAAAAGCAAATTGGGAAGGGCAGAGGCGGAGGAGAGGCCTGCGGCAGCAGGCAGCGGCGGGACTGGGAGCAAGCTGAGCTGGAGGGGGCGGCGAAGGCTGGCGCGGCGAGCGGCAACCGTGTAGGTGTTTCGGACGCTGTTCGGGACTGGAGGCGGGTAAGGCTGGCAAGGGCGGCCCGACCCCCCAGGAGGCCATCCAGCGGCTGCAGGACACGGAGGAGATGTTAAGCAAGAAACAGGAGTTCCTGGAGAAGAAAATCGAGCAGGAGCTGACTGCCGCCAAGAAGCAGGGCACCAAAAACAAGCGCGCGGCCCTCCAGGCACTGAAGCGTAAGAAGAGGTATGAGAAGCAGCTGGCGCAGATCGACGGCACATTATCGAGTTCCAGCGGCAGGCCCTGGAGAATGCCAACACCAACAACGAGGTGCTCAAGAACATGGGCTGTGCCGCCAAGGCCATGAAGGCGGCACATGACAACATGGACATCGATAAAGTTGATGAGTTAATGCAGGACATTGCTGACCAGCAAGAACTTGCGGAGGAGATTTCAACAGCAATTTCGAAACCTGTAGGGTTTGGAGAGAAGTTTGACGAGGATGAGCTCATGGTGGAATTAAGAACTAGAACAGGAGGAACTAGACAAAAATTTGCTGGAAATCAGTGGACCCGAAACAGTCCCTCTACCAAGTGTTCCCTCTATAGCCCTACCATCAAAACCCCCCAAGAAGAAAGAAGAGGAAGACGACGACATGAAGGATTTGGAGAAGTGGGCTGGGTCCAGCGCGGGCTGGGCCAGGTTTCTGGTGGCCTGCGCAGCGAGCAGGCGTGTGCATGTGCGCGGCAGGCAGGATGGATGTGGTGCAGGCAGGTTCCATCGCTCTCGACTCTCACTCCAAAGCAGTGGGACCGCATTGCTGCTCGCTCTCTGCATAGCATGATCTGCACCTGGTGGGACGGGTGGGGGCGGATGGAGGAGAGGGGCAGTGGGGGGGAAGTGCCTGCTGTTTATAATGTTGAATTTCTGTAAAATAAACTGTTTGCAAATCCAAAAAAAGCAAATTCTAGAGATGTCATGTTGGTTCTAATTACGTTGGTATGTGTCTTTTAAAAAGATATTTTCCCCCCATAACCACAGTGCCATTATCCCCACCTAACAAAACTGATCTGTTGCCTTAGATTGATCTGAGTCTTAGTGTCCTCAGATTCCTTTTTGTTATCTAAAATATTAAAATATATTAGACAAATATTGAAAATATTAAAATAGATATATTAAATATTGAAAATATTAAAATATGTTCAAGTTTGTGGTTATCACTTTTAAATGACCCATTTTTCATTTACATATATTTTGTAAATGTTTGACTTTCTTTTTTTTTTTTTTTTTTTTTTTTGAGACGGAGTCTGGCTCTGTCACCCAGGCTGGAGTGCAGTGGCCGGATCTCTGCTCACCGCAAGCTCCTTCTCCCGGGTTTACGCCATTCTCCTGCCTCAGCCTCCGGAGTAGCTGGGACTACAAAATGTTTGACTTTCTAACTTGCTATGGAAATTTTCAAACAAAAGTAGGTGGAATCCATATAAGAAACCCTCATGTACTTATCACTCAGCTTCAACAGTTATCAACCACTCTACTCATGTAGGAGGGGAAATTATCAAATGCCCAAGTTTGTTTGATCTATTTCCCTCCAACTTCCTCCTCCTGAATTATTCTCAGGCAAATTCCAGAGTGGATATTATTTTATTGGCAGTCTAGTCTGTATCTTTGAAAGAGGGAAAGGATTATTTAAAATGAGTGTGTGTGTGTATTTATATATGGATAAGGATTCTTTAACATGAGTTACATATACATATATAACATATATATAACTGATGTTAAAGAATCCTTGTCTTTTAAAGGTACAGACTATATCTGCATATGTATATATCCACAATACTGTTATCACCCTTCATTCTTTAATATCTTCAAGTATCTAGTATTCAAATATCCATTTGTCTCAGATGTCATAGTTATTTTGGTAATGGTTTGAATCAGGATCCATATAAAGTCTCTACCTTGCAGTTGGTTGATAATGACCTTTAAGTCTAACCTTTTAGTCTATAGTCCATTTTACTACCTCTCTTTGGTAATTTTTTTTTTTGTTCAAGAAACCACGTTGTGGCCGGGCACGGTGGCTCGTGCCTGTAATCCCAGCACTTTGGGAGGCCGAGGCGGGTGGATCACGAGGTCAGGAATTTGAGACCAGCCTGGCCAATATGGTGAAACCCCGTCTCTATTGAAAAAAAAAACCCAAAAATTAGCAGGACCTTGGTGGCACGTGTCTGTAGTCCCAGCTGCTCGGGAGGCTGAGGCGGAAGAATCACTTGAATCTGGGAGGCGGAGGTTGCAGTGAGCTGAGATTGTGCCACTGCACTCCAGCCTGGGTGACAGAGCAAGACTCCATCTCAAAAAAGAAGAAACTATGTTGTTCCAGTGTTTCTCAGGGTCTGGATTTTAATGATTACATCTGTGGCTCAGTTCAACACTTTCTTTCGTATGTCCTGTATTTCCTGTAAATTGGTAATTGAATCTATAGGTATACTTAGTTTTAGAATATATAATATATGCACATAGTAAAATTTAAAACAGTTCAAAAGTCTTTGTAATGAAATGTCGGTCATTTTCCCACACAGTATTTTAGGTATCTTCCCCAGAAGGAATCATTTTGTCTAGAATGAATGATGTGTTTTTATTAAGCTTTATATCCCATTGAGCACACTAAATATTCTTGTAATTTTGAATATACTAAAGTTATTTTGTAAATTTTAGGATTTGATTTAAATGCTACAAAAGCACATGGTGCCAGTCACTAAGGTGTAGCCTTTAATTTTTGGTAAAGGAGAATTTGTAAGGTGAAATGATAGTGAATTAGAAGTTGTAAACCAGATTCCTTGTTACTACACTGGACTGCTTTTCGTATAATGAACAAGGAAAATCAGCTCTGTAGGGCAATGTTAAAAAGAGTCATCTTGGCTGGGCACGGTGGCTCATGCTTGTACTTTGGGAGGCCGAGATGAGAGGATTGGTTGTCTCCAGAAGTTTGAGACCAGCCTGGGCAGTATAGTGAGACCCCCATCTCAACAGAAATTCAGAAATTAGCCAGGTGTGGTGGCATGTGCCTGTAGTCCTAGCTACTCGGGAGGCTGAGGTGGGAGGATCACCTGAGCCCAGGAGGTCCAGGCTCCCATGAACTGTGATTGTGCCACTGCACTCTAGCCTGGGTGACAGAGTGAGACACTGTCTCAAAAAAAAATAAATAAATAAAAAACAAGAAAAACTTCTTTGTTAACATTATACAGTATCTAGTATTGTTAGTTTTACTTTCTTAAATGCGAAGATAGTGAAGTACCATAGTTTTCTCGTCTGTAAAATAAGGGCATTGCTGTGTTTACATCAGTGGCCTTTGGTAGGTCTTGAGTGAGAAAGTATCTAGGGAGGAGACTTGAATGTTAATTTCCTTTTCTGTAAGTATGGCCATAATTAATTGTGAAACTCTGCTATTTTCAGTAGAAAGTTTTGGGGACAAGGCACATGGCCAGGAATGTCATGCCCAGTGCAATGGGTTAGGTTGGGATCAAGAACAAGTCTTTCACAGTGAGCCAGGCAGTATTATCTGAGCCACTTGGTCAGGACAGGTTATGGAACAGTTAGAACAGGTGAGTCATGTCACATGTACCATACCACAGTCTGCTTTTCCTTGGCTCCCCTCCCCATGCCTACTCTGGTCCCTGTCTGGCAAATAGTACAGTTCAGAAGATAGGCATTAGATCAGTTTTAAGCATATAGGAAGAATGATAATTGGATTACCAGCAAGGCAGAGCAGCAGATCAGAGGCCATAGGGAACTGGGACCAAATAAGGAGACTCTCCAAAAGATGCAGATGCAGCTCTAGCAGCAAGGAAACACAAACTGGTTGCAAAATTACATGTGTAAAGTCGATTGAGAACAAAAATAAAGCAGCAGTCCTGGCTCCTTAAGTGATAGTTTCTTTTATGAGACCTCAAGACAGTTTACTGATAGGAGTATTCCAACTAAACTTCTAGGTTTGAATAGCAGGACATTACATGGAGGTAATTTTTTGGAATATATTTCTCCTCAGCTGTATAGAGATAAGCAGATAGGTAGATTTGGACCTGGGATAATTGTCATCTGTTAGTTTGCGTCGCCTGGTTGTGTAGAAAGTTTGTATGATGTTAGGCAGTTAACAGGATAGAAATTTTTAAATAGCCTTGCTCTCATCAAGTGACTGTGTAGTCTTTTTTTTTTTTTTTTTTTTTTAATTGAGGCAAGGTCTCACCATGTTGCCCAGGTTGGTCTGGAATGCCTGGCCTCAAGCAGTCCTCCTGCCTTGGTTTCCCAAAGTGCTAGGATTACTGGTGTGAGCCACTACACTTGGCCTGTATTATCTTGTTTGGGGGCAGGGAAGTATGGAGATACAGGAGTCATTTCAAGCCTTTTAAACTCCTTTAGTAGCTATTTTACTCATAGACTCTGTGGCTAGAGTAGGCTTTATAATTAGAAAGTAGTGCTAAGTGCTTACTTACTAGATACAGAAACAAGTTTTATGATGTTTCCTGGGTTTAGAGAAGAATTGGTTAAAGACGAAGAAATTTTGTTTTCTTTGGAAAATCTTTTAAAATCTAATGTAAGTAGTTTTGGGGCAAATGCAGGAAAGAATTAGGGACTTGCTTTTGGTTTACACTAGATGTGTTTCCTTTTTTTGGTGAATAGTGGAAGTAGTAAAGAGGCTAATAGTTGTCAGGGCTTGTCAGCCGATACGGGATTGAATACTGCTGAGGTGAGCAAGTCTTGCCACCAGTGTTTTGCCCCCTAAAGATCTTTAATTTAGGCAAAGATAGTTTCTCTTCTGGAATAAATTCTGAAAACAGAATAGTATGTTTTAATGTGCATTAATTTATCTTTACAGGCTTTTTTTTTTTAAGCATGGGCTATTTAAATTTTGAGTACTTCACTGTGTTAGCATCATTATAAGAACTGTCAGCTGTGAAAAAAGATGATGCAAGAGTGAGCACTAATTTTGATTTGCTTTGAACAAAGTACACAGGGTGAACCTGCGTAATTATAGTATCAGCTGGATACTGTGCTAAGTAATCTAACCCTCATCACAGCTCTATGAAATGTCAGACTCATAAATAGTGACATGCCCAAGGCCATAGAACTAAGAGGTAGCTTCTCTTAGGGCAGAATCCAGGCTTTATAGGAGGAATTAAGATGCTATTTTGCCTTAAAAATTTGGGGAGGAGAGAGAGTCTTATATTTGTAAATGGGTATATCTAAGGTCATGATATCATAATTTACTAAGTAGACCAGCTTTTATCAGGTATCACAAAGTAGAATTTGGTAGCTAGGACAACTCCCCCCTCCCATTCTTATCTTTTTTTTTTTTTTCTTTAAATAGTTGTAAAGTTTCTGGGAATTTATGGGAACATGCTTTTCTTTCTTTATATTCTTTCTTGAAAAAACCCCTCAATTTTCGTCCTCATTTTGCTTCCCACTCCCTCTTAATGAAAAGAATAACTTTTGTGAAAGGGAGAATGATGTGAATTCAGCGGGTTCAGACAAGTGTTGTGAGTGTGGAGGCCAGGAAGCCATGTGTACCAGGACCATGTTACTGCCTAAGAAGAAATGAGAGAGTTCAGATGCAAGGGAGGTGAATAGAGAGTCAGTTTCAGTTCCCGTTGGTTACTGTGATTTATATGGATCTTCTGGGACTGATGTAAAGAAGAGTTGTTTCACCAGACTTACTGGGAAGCCCTCTGTTTTGTGTCCCTTGTGATAGTGATTTTAAATCAGAAATAAACCATCTGATACGGGGAAAGAATAGTGTTTGGATTTATTGCTTAGTTACAGTGACATGTATGCTGTTAAAGTGATGAAATTGTTTAGTGTGAGTTAGCGTATATCTTAATTCTAATGAAAC